AAGACTAGCCATGGGCGCGATACAAGAAAGAGGTTAAATCCACTAATCAGTCAGTCAAAACTAGCCATGGGCGCGATGTAAGAAAGAGGTTAAATCCGCTAATCAGTCAGTCAATACTAGCCATGGGCGCGATGTAAGAAATAGGTTAAATCCACTAATCAGTCAGTCAAGCCTAGCCATGGGCGCGATTAAGAAAGAGGTTAAATCCACTAATCATTCAGTCAAGACTAACTACTTTTCCCCTTGTCTGTCAGTTCAAACTAGGGAAGATTACGTGGAAGTATAATCCTTGTGTAGCTTTGCGCGACAAATCTAAAAAACAAATAAAGAAAGAAGTATTTCATCATATACAATCAGTCAGATGTTAGTATGATGTTAAGTACCAACGAAACACAATTATACAGAAGTGATTGATTTGGAGAAAGAAGACGACGGGCTTTACTTGAAAACATTGCACTACAAGAAAGATTTCAATTCGTAATTAGTTCCTTCAACTCAGATCACTGAACTCACAACCAACACTTGGGTTGACCAACAGTCACCAGGGAGCAAGAGGGAATCCTCAATAGCCGCGGCTCAAATCGGTCAAGAGAGATGGAACTACGAGCTAAAAGTTTGTACTTGAAAAAACAAACAAACAAACTCGGAGACATTCTATGAGCCGCTATGCCACGGTTAAAAATGATAAATGAAGAAAATAAGGCCCTGATCCAAGGACGATATAACCAGTAACAAAAATCCACACCGGATATATAAACCCTATAAACCCCCAGTGGCGGTAAGTCTGAAGTCTGATATCGCTAAAAAACCAGGTTTCGATACCCGCGGTGGGCACGGCACAGCTAGCCCATTGCGTGGTTTTGTACTTAACTGCAAACATACAAACGAAGTTACTATGTAGTGGTTATATATCCACGACAAATAAACCAAGTTGGAGTTAACCCGGAAGGATAATTCGGAGTGTAAACAAACTAGTAATATTATCAAAATTTTAGTTATTTCAGGAAGACATATTCTTAGACTGGCTAATAACTACCAAGGGAAATCCTGCCGTCGTTTAGACTGGCTAATAACTACCAGGGGAAATCCTGCCGTCGTTTAGACTGGCTAAAAACTACCAGGGGAAATCCTGCCGTCGTTTAGACTTGTCTATAACTACCAGGGGAAATCCTGCCGTCGCTTAGACTTGTCTATAACTACCAGGGGAATCCTGCCGTCGCTTAGACTTGTCTATAACTACCAGGGGAAATCCTGTCGTGGCGGCTGTCACATTATACATTAGGTGGCGGCTGTCTCATTATACATTACGTGGCGGTTGTCACATTATATATTACGTGGCGGCTGTCACATTATATATTACGTGGCGGCTGTCACATTATATATTACGTGGCGGCTGTCACATTATTCAATCATCGTGCAGACTATAAACGGACTTTCTATGCGAGACAGGTTAAGAGTGTCCCAGCTGTGGTTTAATACTAGTCGAAAGTGACGAGGTTTAACTTTCCCGACTCAACCTTGACACCAACGCACGTGTTTGACAAGCCCTCTGAGGGAATACAGATATAAAAAACTTAGAAATAACAACAAACGCCAGACGACAGATCCTCATCCAAATACCGAATGTGTCGTTGCACTCTCGTTCCCTTATCTCCCCACATTTAATCAACTACGCTGAAGAGGTTCCCATCGAAGCTTTGATAAGTCCTAAGGGACTTAGGTTTGACCCCTTGTCTCTTGACTTCCCTTCCCGTCCGTCACGATTCACCATATTCCGTTTCCAACTTAATGACCATGAAAGCACACACATTTTCTGTAGCTAGATCTGTTATATCAGTAGAACGGCAGACAGCCAGCTGATACAGAGAGAGAAAGGTTTCAAACAGCTGGAACTAAAAGACAGAATTTAATAAAAGTTTGTTGTTTGATTACAAATAAACTAGGTATTCCTTTTATGTCCTGTTTTATAATATTAAGTTATTCAGTTTATTAAAATATACCATGTTTGTTTATATTTCTGTTATTTGATCTTAAGCAATACATATAAACGACTAGAGAGAGGGAGGGCAACCAACCAGAAGCGCCCGCCGCCTACATTATACTCTTGACCGAATAGCAAGATTGACTTAAATGTTCATAATTTACAGCTGTTAACCGGAGAGAGACAACCAGTTGTAGCACCCGCCGCCTACACGGTTGTCCTAAACCTAACAGTGGGATTAATTACTGTATTATTATTTTTTTTTTAATTACTTGTTGTATATGATATAAAATATTAAATTAATTATAAAACAAAAATAACAATTTTCGTTACATTTCAGAAAGATGGCGGTTATTTCTCAGCTCGCTGTTACATTTAATAATCCTTACAGTAACTGTAAATCTCACCTCGTCGAGCATTGTCTTGCTGGTTATACGCTTCACATTTGTTGCCCAAACAACCTCGTTTCTGGACAACTTCTGGGCATCGTTTGCCGCCATTTCGAGGTTCCTGACGAATCAGACGTTCCCGTGTCATCATTCCGGGGCCACAGTCGACGTCACACTTTGACCACGGTTTCCAGTCGGTTACCTCGCAATCAATCACTATACGAAAATGATAATAATTGAGATATCGATTACGTTAATTAATTCTTATTTCATTATTATTGTCTTTAGAATGAGGGCAAAATATATAAAAAAAAAATCACAATCACGTGTAAATCAACAATGTCAGTAGCGTGGATGTATTTTTCGTTTTCTTTACCGTATTTTTTTTAAGCTTTTTAATTTTTGTACAAGATTTTTTTTTGTTATTATTATTATTATAGCAATTATCTCCAAGTTTAGAAAAAAAAAGTTTATAACTAATGATTTAAGTCTTATGCGCGTCTTTCTCAACAGCCCCCCCCCCGACCCTTACAGTCAGGGTTTAATGAAGTGATGAAAATATGCGAAATTTATTATAACGATATTTTCTAATGATGGTTATATCGAAACGACAGAAATCTTTATTAGTACTCACGCAAACACACTCATCGGAATCATTACCCAAACGTAGGAATCATTTTTTGTGTGCTAGTTTCGCGTTCATGGCTCGAAATGACTAGAAAATCGTTCTAAAATCATAACGTTTGTCAATGATTAGTGTAAGCTTGTACTTCGGCATTATGGTGTTGAAATACAATATTACTGCGTTTGTTTTCAGAGGAGAGAAGTGTGTGGTTATGGAAGGTTTTTGGAGAAAACAACAGAAAAAAAATAAATATACACTTTCCATAAACTAGGTACAACACTTTAAAACACAACAACAGTTCACGTGCAAGTAAGTAGTAAGAGGTCGTCCAGATGACCATAGAAACACGTGATGCAGTATTTTAGTTACGGATGAGTCACGTTTCATCCTGCTGTAGGGACAGAATCTGGAACTAGATTCAGACTCCCCCCCCCCATTTCTGTAGAGAAATGTGACGCATATGACAGTGGTGGACAAATTGTGTAGACAGGAGTAAGTACCTCTACATCTTCGAAGTGGTACCGTTAAGTCCACGCATGATAGGGGTCGCATTTTACGACATGTTGTGTTGTCTTATATTGTTGCCCTGACTTCAGCCGAATGAGAGGTAATGGTCACTCCTGCCGTTCTAAATTGGTCAACACATAGAAAAATGATTGTTCAAGTGGAGTATCTTTCACGATCACGTGCGTGCACGACTGGATTTAAATCCACTGGGAGACGCGCAGCATAATTTTAATTGACTCCAGACACCAATGGTACCCCCGAAAATAGGACCTTCAGGGGGAGTGGTAACGAATAAATCGGGACTTATTAACACTAATCTTAAGCAAGCAACATCTGTGTAAGTCTGTCCCTTCTGTTGGTGGTGATAATATTCCTTACTGTCGTGTAATGTTAGGAAGTGTAAAAGAACATAAAACCAATGTATGCCAAAAGGTTAATCACCTGCAAGTAATAATAACTGATGAGGGTGATATTATTTTAAAATAATAAGTTTACAAAGTATGATTATTTTTCAGTCATTTATCACTATAAAAGTGTAGAGGTGATCTCTTCCGTACTGGGATAAAGATGTCGCGCAACTAAATTGCTTTTTCATGGTGAATTGACAGATTAATCTAACAAATTTAAAGGGCGGCTCTAAAGGCAAGTATAAGTTCCGCTAGTGTCCGCTAGTCCCCGCATTTATAATAATAATAATAATGTAAATACAGCTTTTAAAATTAATTTTATTGATATCAATTATTTTTGCCAGTGTGTTTAGCCTGAGGTTGAAAACAGAAATCGTACTTATTGTCACAGTAGAGGGTGGGTGGGGAGACAACAATTTAATTAAAAAAAAAGCCCGATTTACGAACAAATGGGACGTGCCAGAGAAAATGAACCAATCAGGACCCAACAAGAATAAACGCCATAATATCAGATATATACACAGCGTGGTCACAAGTAAATAGACACCATCTTTTCAGAAAAAATGAAAATTTTCAGTC